AACTCGCCTTCAGTGGACTGATTGTTACTAGTGATGCAAAGTCCGATTCATTTCCACGAACCGGTTCTTTTCGGACAGATCGGCTCATTGAACCGGTTCAAAAAGCAGATTCATCGGTTCCTGACGCCATCAAGCAATAACGTCTCTATGCATTTATTTTCTAACAACTCAGTGCCATGTTGTATCAATGAAAATTTCAAATAAGTCATTTGTGTCAACGCATATTCAAAAATAAAGTTATTTGTGTAAAAGCATATTGCTGATTATTGCCATCTAATTCACTTTAGTTAATGGTGTTTGTGGTCACAGTTTAATCCGTGGATCCTCCGATACGACTTACTGACCAGTATTGACTAGCCAACAACTTGGATAAGATTCCTAAAAGTTTCACACATTACAGACATTGATGCACAAACGGCTAATTCGGTTCTTGTTGAGTCCTCGGTAATCCTCGGCAAACTTTGACAGTTGGTTGAACCGGCTCATTCAGTTATTTTTGAGTTGGACGTGCTACTTCGGCTGTGCGTCCTGCGTCACCAATCTGGAACTAAAGTTCGATTCAGTTCGATTTGTGAACCGGCTCAAAAGAACGATTCGTTCAAGAACCGAACATCACTAATTATTACAGGCATGTAACCTTAAATCCCTTTATCAGTACATAATTTCTCGACGTATATATGACTGATAAATAATTAAAAAGTACTCATCAGGAATTGTGCACCACCTTAATACTACACAAGACTTTGTTTTTATTTTCCCTTCTTTATGTTTATTTGTGGAAGCATGGCTTCCTCTCTTGTTTCCATTTGTAGACTAAGAGCACGTAAAGACTGCCTTCTTCGAGTCATTTAAGCCTCTTTGTTTGCCCTTCCTTCTGGTTTGCAGACTGTCATCCCCAGTAGACCAGAGACCGAAAGTAGCTTCCCTGACTGGGAAACCTCAGGCACTAATCACTACACCTCACACCAACATTTACAGCAAGACTGAACCATGGAAGTGGACTCCGCAGAAGAATCGACTCCTCCCTCTGATATGGAATGCATCCTAACTATGCTCTCTGGTCAAGCCAATGCCATTCACAAGCATGAACAGATTCTTACTGAGATTCTCCAGCTATAAGTGACCAGTCCACATCTCAAGCCTCTCCAGTCATTCCAACCCAGTCTCAAGGCACCCCATCAACTTAATCCACCAGCATGATCCCTTCTCGTAGGAAAGCGTGAGATTGAGCTACGGCTCTCTGGGAGCAACAGTCCCCTCTTACGATCAGTATAGCAAAGATGAGAAAGGTCTTCCACCACCCTGTTAGTGGAGCAGAGGTTTATCAAGTCAAGTCAACTTTGCAGTGTTAAACAGGAAAATAGTGTGCTGATAATGCAAGAAGATAATAGTAAACACTAAATTTTTCAGTTGAAGTCAGTTCATCATTGATTCAGTGATGCATCGTCCATCTCAGTCCAGTTCAAATAGTGTCTGTGCAATCAATGTTGCCAGAAATTAAGTGCCTCCAACTAAGCAAGGAACCAAAACTCCAATGGTGACAGAAATGGAGAAAAACCTTGGGAGAAATCAGGATCAGTCGGGGGTCAGTTCTCCTCTGGCCAGATCAAACCAGCATGGTGTGATTAATTCCAGGCTGCAGCACAAGTCAGATTGTGCAGAGGACTCGTCTGGTTCTCGTAGCCTTTGCTGAGGAATTGTGCCGACGGCGAACTAGGTCTTCACTGGGGATCTGGCTCTAGGGCTAGTTGACATGCTCTCCGCTGACATTCAGGGCTGTAGATGTTGTGCTGAGCCACCATCTGATCTGGATACTGACTAATAGTAAACACTCAATTTTTCAGTTGAAGTCAGTTCATCATTGATTCAGTGATGCATCGTCCAGTTCAGTTCAGTTCAAATAGTGTCTGTGCAATCAATGTTGCCAGAAATTAAGTGTCTCCAACTAAGCAAGGAACCAAAACTCCAATGGTGACAGAAATGGAGAAAAACCTTGGGAGAAACCAGGATCAGTCGGGGGGTCAGTTCTGCTCTGGCCAGATCAAACCAGCATGGTGTGATTAATTCCAGGCTGCAGCACAAGTCAGATTGTGCAGAGGACTCGTCTGGTTCTCGTAGCCTTTGCTGAGGAATTGTGCCGACGGCGAACTAGGTCTTCACTGGGGATCTGGCTCTAGGGCTAGTTGACATGCTCTCCGCTGACATTCAGGGCTGTAGATGTTGTCCTGAGCCACCATCTGATCTGGATACTGACTGGATCTGGTGGCAACGGTGACCTCAGAATAAGAATAAAACAGACTAATATTAGCGTAGATGCCATTCTTCTAACGATGTAGCAAGTACATCGGGTGTTATGGGAAGTGTTCCCGGTTCCGGTTGTCCTAATTAATGCAGCCTAATAATCCTTTAACGGATTTGAATATTAGAAATGTGTTAGTGTGTTATGTGTAAACCAGGTTAAAGAGATGGGTCTTTAATCTAGATTAGGCAGATTAACGTTAGGTAGATTGTTCCAGAGTTTGGGCACTAAATAGGAAAAGGATCTGCCGCCCACAGTTGATTTTGACATTCTAGCTATCATCAAATGCCCAGAGTTTTGAGATCACAGCGGACGTGAAGGACTATAATGGGTAACACTTTATAATAACTTACATTAATAAATCATTAACACAAATTACACAATGCTTAACAAATAATTAGTTGATATATATTCTCATAGCTAGAAATATGAGATAATGTGCTTGTCAATGTTTACTAATTAATTTATTAAACATTAAATAATGATCTGTTAATCAATCAAGATGTAATGTAAATTAAAATGCGTGCAAATGCCAGCATTCTAGCTATCATCAAATGCCCAGAGTTTTGAGATCACAGCGGACGTGAAGGACTATAATGGGTAACACTTTATAATAATTTACATTAATAAATCATTAACACAAATTACACAATGCTTAACAAATAATTAGTTGATATATATTCTCATAGCTAGAAATATGAGATAATGTGCTTGTCAATGTTTACTAATTAATTTATTAAACATTAAATAATGATCTGTTAATCAATCAAGATGTAATGTAAATTAAAATGCGTGCAAATGCCAGTTTGTAAGTGTTATGGGTAGGTTTAAGGGTTGGTTAAGTGGTCAACAGTGTACAGGAGTTAATTTGATTACTATAAGGGGACACGGTTCAATCTGTTTATATCGCATTTATTTAATAAATGAAAGTATTTTCTTAAAATGTATTTGTTCTCTCCTGTTGATGTTTGAGTCAAGGAATATCCTCTATTTAAGGATATAGTATCTGAGTGTTGAGGCAACAAAAACTTGTTTTGCGCCCAATGTAAAATTATTTGTGGTTATGTCTGTCGCAAACATATGTGACCCTGGAGTACAAAACCAATAAGTGTAAATTTTTGGAAATTGAGATTTATGCATCAGCTGAAAGCTGAATAAATAAACTTTCCATTGATGTATGATTTGTTAGGATAGGAGGACAACATTTGGTCGAGATACAACTATTTGTGAATCTGGAATCTGAGGGTGCAAAAAATTCTAAATATTGAGAAAATCATCTTTAAAGTTGTGCAAATGAAGTTCTTAGCAATGCATATTACTAATCAAAAATTAAGTTTTGATATATTTACGGTAGAAAATGTACAAAATATCTTCATGGAACATGATCTTTACTTAATATCCTAATGATTTTTGGCATAAAAGAAAAATCAATAATTTTGACCCATACAATGTATTGTTGGCTATTGCTACAAATATACCCCAGCGACTTAAGACTGCTTTTGTGCTCCAGGCTCACATATGGCTAAACTTACCTAACCACCCTTTACACAGTCATTTTGTTACACTAGTTAAAAAGTACTAAATGATTAATAGTAAAAGTTTATAAACATTTAAAATGATGAAGAGTTTCCACTTTAGACTGGGTACTGCAAAAACATGAACAAATAATTAATAAATGATTAGTAAAGATGTGTAAATAGGGTGAATTCAGGTCATTTGGGACACTTTTTTCCATTGAGATAACACGGAAAATGTGTCTTAATGTGTACTAAATGATTAGTAAACGTTTAGAAACATTTACAAATAATGAATAGTTTTAAACTTTAGATTGAGGACTCCAAAAACATGAACAAATAATTAAGAAATGTTATATATATATATATGTTTTTTTTCTTCTTCTGGTACGTTTTAGTCCAGATTAAAATGTGATATGTAGGCCTACAGACTACTCCTAAGTAAACAAATGCATATCAACAGCGGAAAAAGGCTTGGTTCATAAATTCACATCAGTGACTGTAAAATGTGACTGATAGCCCAATAATACAATATGACAATAGTATTTATGATTTTTCAACATAAATATTATATATCATAATTATACATAAATTGTAAAAATGTGAAACTACTACTACAAATATGAATAGCTATAATAATAACAACTAGAGAGAGAGAGAGAGAGAGAGAGAGAGAGAGAGAGAGAGAGAGAGAAAGCAACCTAAAATATCAAATAAAAATTATTATAGAAAGAAGGAGAAGAAGAAGAAGAAGAAGAAGCTTTATTAGCTGAGGAATGTAAATGTAAAGTGTACTAATAATTGAAAATTAAATGAATGATAAACATATATTTTCTTTTGTAGGATCTTAAATCACAGTACCCTAAAATAATGTTGGTCAGATTAATTGAGAAGCCTGACAGAATGCAATAATAATATAAATGATTGCATAAAAGTCATGATGTATGATGTAATGACTACGAAAGATTTTGGTATGACCTTCAGGATTACACTCTATGATGTCTACATATATGCCTTATACATTTTGTCATTAAAACATTTTGTAACCATATGTTTGCCTCAGAGAAATATCATTTTGGACAACAATATCACACAACACGCAGTGAATAATTGCACTAAACAACAGTGCTGTTTAAAACGAAAGCGGAACGTCGTATTCTGTTCAGGCGCTCTGCGAGCTGCTATGAGGTCCTTCTGGACGCCATGCGGTGTTGGATAATTCTAGAAGAGCGTCGGTGAGACTTCGTTGCAAGCGCTGCTGACAGCACAGGGCCTGAGTTTGACCCACCACAGCTCACTTACTCACATCCAGCTGCTCTGCACAGATCTCTTACCCCGCGTTCATCCGAATTTAGCCATTAAACAAGTCGAAGATGTTGTCGGCAGCGAGAACGAGTGTGTCGCGCTCTCAGAAGTCCTGCGGCAGTGTGTCGGATCTCCTCAAGAAGGTGAGCGCCTGCTACTGAGTGCCCTTAAAGTCTCCTCAGCAGCAGGGGTGTTGCTTCATGGCTTCATATAACGTTAGTGATCTAGACTGTGGTTTGCAGTGGGTTCTGTTGTGTGTGTTTGTCAAAGAGGTTCGGCTGAAGTGAGTTTACTAGCACTACACATCACACAAGTTACATACAATCTGTCAAAATCACACAAACCGTGTGAAGAGGAGCTTTAAACGAGTTATTTGCCCCTTGTGTTTGGAAAGGCCCGACCGCTCGCGTGATTAACCTGCTCTGCGACTGAATTCATGAACGTGGTTTAAGACGTGTGATGGTTTATTATAAAGGTCAGTCGTTATATATCATCTAGACGGTGTTTGTAACATGTGAAGAGCGGTGCAGTCCATTCTCTGGTGTGTGTGGGGTTTAGGAAGAGTGTGTTTGACCTTCATCAAGTGTCCTGAAGCATCGAGGAGCTTCCCTTCATCCGTGTGCTTTACTCATAAACTACCTATTCGTGATTTAACACACACACACACACACAAAGCTTATTTTTTCCCACCCTTTATGCAATTCTATATCGTTCCAGTATGTCTGCAGTGATGTTGCCATTATATTAGACAGGTATTGCAATCCACGTGATTCTCTTTGCATCAACATGGCATTAAACCACATGGTCAGACTTAACTCTATAGAGTTCTGTGTCTTTGCACAATCTGATCTGACTCATTGCACACTAACCCTTTATTATTTTCAATCTGTTATATATTCTAGAGCCAGTTTTCTAAATGAGCCGCTTGTCTGTTTTTTTTCTCAGGCTTGTTGGAGTGGATTGACTCAGCAGAGCCTCCGGACTGCAGCCAGACGTCATTATGCGTGAGTATTATGCCGAGTTCACACTGCACGATTTTAGCCCGATTTTTCACTCGGCGACAGGTTTTGCGAAATCGCCGACAAATGCCTGAAATCGGAGGCAAATCGGTGCTCGTTCACGCGAGTGACAATCACCCAGTGTGAATGATCAAAGACATGATCTGAGGGAATCGGCGAAGCCCGTGAAATATTTGGCATGCTAAATATCTGGAGCTGTCGGCGATTCACAATCACACTGTGTGCAATGAGTTCTGACTGAAAACTACATCGGCGATGACCTACAGCCAATGAGAGACCAAGATACAGGGCAGAGGGAAGTTCGGGGAGGAGTTATAGACCAGAATATCAATATTTTAATAAATATATGAACTATTATATCATACAGAAACAAGCACAAACATTTGCTTGACCAGCCACAACGTCAGCATAACAGTTACTTGCAAAATTATTTACATCCAACTCTCTTTGCAGAGCACCCAATCCCTGTTCCCTGCATCTCCCTCCTGCATAATCTGTTTTTCTTTTTCTCCTTGTAGCTGGAAATCAGCTCAGACAATTTGCGGGCTATATATATATATTTTAAAATAAATTACAGTCTTGCTGGAGAACTCCGGTCTGACGCACGCGGGTTCTCGCTTTATTACCTCATCACTTCTCGCGTGTGTTTGGTTGTGAAACGTAGTTTGCGGACCAGACAGAGCTGTCGGCGATTCTTCCTATTGTGAAGTCATGCAGTGTGAAACCCCCTGTCGCCGATCCATCGTGCAATGTGAACACAGCAGCAACTGAATGCTACCACAGATAGTCACGCAGTGTGAAAACAACGGCGATCCGATGAGTTTGAAAATCATGCAGTGTGAACTTGGCATTAGCGGGTTTAAGAGCATCCCGTGATCGCTGAATGTCCGTGAGCGAGTGTCTGAGCTGCTGATGGTGTTTCAGGTCGGAGGCGATCAGAGGCGCCGTCGTCGGCATTGATCTGGGAACCACCAACTCCTGCGTGGCTGTGATGGAGGGGAAACAAGCCAAGGTGAGCTGCAGCTTGCTCACATTCAGTGGTTCAAGATTAGGCCTGGTGACCAAAAAGGTGGTAGAATGAGCTGTCACCGATGTGTCCTTGATCAGATGTTTAATGTTAACCTTAACATAAAATATTCAGAATTGTGTAAAACAAATCTGTTCTCATGGATCCTTGTCAGTAAAGCGGCTAAAAGGCCAGACTGAAGTTTTCTGCCAGACTTCCCTTGGCTCTGACACATCTGGATTCATCATAATTGAGTATATACGCCATATTTACTGAAGCTGTACATATAGACGCACTATGTCTTCAATATCATACTCTTGAGACCTGGGGCACACAACTGGACATGCCTGCAGTTTTGAAAATGGCAACATTTCACATTTATGAATGAGAACAAACCATGAACAAACCTGAATGAACCTTCAGCCACTAAGAAGAATCAGTCAAGTCACATTTATTTCTAAAGTGATTTATACAATACAGATTGTCTTAAAGCAGCTTCACACTGATAAACCGTAAAGTAACGGAATATTTTATGGAAACTCATAGGGCTGCATGATAAATTGTATTTTAATTCACTGGTTATTTATACAGAAAACATTTCCATTTGCTTTTATGGTTGCAATTGCCAGATTTCATTAGTTTAAAATCCCCCAATCAGAGCTTTGCTCTTAAATCAATAGATTTTCTGCCCAGGGCTTTACTTAATCTTTCCAACCTGGCAACCAAACACGCACACTCTTTCTCTCTCACTCACGCACACTCTTTCTCTCTCACTCACGCACACTCTTTCTCTCTCACTCACGCACACTCTTTCCCTCTCACTCACGCTCACTCTTTCTCTCTCACTCACGCACACTCTTTCCCTGTGTTTGTAACATGTGAAGAGCGGTGCAGTCCATTCTCTGGTGTGTGTGGGGTTTAGGAAGAGTGTGTTTGACCTTCATCAAGTGTCCTGAAGCATCGAGGAGCTTCCCTTCATCCGTGTGCTTTACTCATAAACTACCTATTCGTGATTTAACACACACACACACACACAAAGCTTATTTTTTCCCACCCTTTATGCAATTCTATATCGTTCCAGTATGTCTGCAGTGATGTTGCCATTATATTAGACAGGTATTGCAATCCACGTGATTCTCTTTGCATCAACATGGCATTAAACCACATGGTCAGACTTAACTCTATAGAGTTCTGTGTCTTTGCACAATCTGATCTGACTCATTGCACACTAACCCTTTATTATTTTCAATCTGTTATGTATTCTAGAGCCAGTTTTCTAAATGAGCCGCTTGTCTGTTTTTTTTCCTCAGGCTTGTTGGAGTGGATTGACTCAGCAGAGCCTCCGGACTGCAGCCAGACGTCATTATGCGTGAGTATTATGCCGAGTTCACACTGCACGATTTTAGCCCGATTTTTCACTCGGCGACAGGTTTTGCGAAATCGCCGACAAATGCCTGAAATCGGAGGCAAATCGGTGCTCGTTCACGCGAGTGACAATCACCCAGTGTGAATGATCAAAGACATGATCTGAGGGAATCGGCGAAGCCCGTGAAATATTTGGCATGCTAAATATCTGGAGCTGTCGGCGATTCACAATCACACTGTGTGCAATGAGTTCTGACTGAAAACTACATCGGCGATGACCTACAGCCAATGAGAGACCAAGATACAGGGCAGAGGGAAGTTCGGGGAGGAGTTATAGACCAGAATATCAATATTTTAATAAATATATGAACTATTATATCATACAGAAACAAGCACAAACATTTGCTTGACCAGCCACAACGTCAGCATAACAGTTACTTGCAAAATTATTTACATCCAACTCTCTTTGCAGAGCACCCAATCCCTGTTCCCTGCATCTCCCTCCTGCATAATCTGTTTTTCTTTTTCTCCTTGTAGCTGGAAATCAGCTCACACAATTTGCGGGCTATATATATATATATTTTAAAATAAATTACAGTCTTGCTGGAGAACTCCGGTCTGACGCACGCGGGTTCTCGCTTTATTACCTCATCACTTCTCGCGTGTGTTTGGTTGTGAAACGTAGTTTGCGGACCAGACAGAGCTGTCGGCGATTCTTCCTATTGTGAAGTCATGCAGTGTGAAACCCCCTGTCGCCGATCCATCGTGCAATGTGAACACAGCAGCAACTGAATGCTACCACAGATAGTCACGCAGTGTGAAAACAACGGCGATCCGATGAGTTTGAAAATCATGCAGTGTGAACTTGGCATTAGCGGGTTTAAGAGCATCCCGTGATCGCTGAATGTCCGTGAGCGAGTGTCTGAGCTGCTGATGGTGTTTCAGGTCGGAGGCGATCAGAGGCGCCGTCGTCGGCATTGATCTGGGAACCACCAACTCCTGCGTGGCTGTGATGGAGGGGAAACAAGCCAAGGTGAGCTGCAGCTTGCTCACATTCAGTGGTTCAAGATTAGGCCTGGTGACCAAAAAGGTGGTAGAATGAGCTGTCACCGATGTGTCCTTGATCAGATGTTTAATGTTAACCTTAACATAAAATATTCAGAATTGTGTAAAACAAATCTGTTCTCATGGATCCTTGTCAGTAAAGCGGCTAAAAGGCCAGACTGAAGTTTTCTGCCAGACTTCCCTTGGCTCTGACACATCTGGATTCATCATAATTGAGTATATACGCCATATTTACTGAAGCTGTACATATAGACGCACTATGTCTTCAATATCATACTCTTGAGACCTGGGGCACACAACTGGACATGCCTGCAGTTTTGAAAATGGCAACATTTCACATTTATGAATGAGAACAAACCATGAACAAACCTGAATGAACCTTCAGCCACTAAGAAGAATCAGTCAAGTCACATTTATTTCTAAAGTGATTTATACAATACAGATTGTCTTAAAGCAGCTTCACACTGATAAACCGTAAAGTAACGGAATATTTTATGGAAACTCATAGGGCTGCATGATAAATTGTATTTTAATTCACTGGTTATTTATACAGAAAACATTTCCATTTGCTTTTATGGTTGCAATTGCCAGATTTCATTAGTTTAAAATCCCCCAATCAGAGCTTTGCTCTTAAATCAATAGATTTTCTGCCCAGGGCTTTACTTAATCTTTCCAACCTGGCAACCAAACACGCACACTCTTTCTCTCTCACTCACGCACACTCTTTCTCTCTCACTAACGCACACTCTTTCTCTCTCACTCACGCGTTCTCTCTCTCTCACTCACGTACGTTCTCTCTCTCTCTCTCACTCACGTACGTTCTCTCTCTCTCTCTCACTCACGTACGTTCTCTCTCTCTCTCACTCACGTACTCATTCTCTCTCTCTCTCACTCACGTACTCGTTCTCTCTCTCGCACGAATGCTTAAATTCTGAAGAAATGTAAAAGAAAATGTAAAATTACACTAATCTTGATTTAAGAGCTTAACCATTGTCATTGCAGCCTTAGAAACCCAATTATTGAATGTATTCAGATTCTGCGGTAAAGCATCTCTAAAAAGACAATAGTGTCATTATTCAGCTATTATATCAGTTTTGAACAGATTTCAGTTCATTTGTAAGTAGGGCTGGGACAATAATTCAATGCATCGCGAATCAAGAAATGATTCTGCATCGATTCTGAGATTTTCCGAAGGCATCGCGACTCTCTCTCGAATCGATTCTGAGCTTAGTTTTTAACAGCAGATGGCAGTGCGTGCTTTAGAAAGTCGTATTCCGCTTGCTTCCAGTTCCTTACACACGCACCACTTGAACCTAAAATAATCATTCATAAAGTTCGAAAATATTAGATCGAATTACAAGGATGTTCACAGTGGGCTGTGTTTACATTAATCTTGCATCATAAAAGCCGATGTGCAAGTACATTTAAACACTTACATTACTCAGCCGAACCACAAGCGCTCTTCACAAGTATTTGAGTGTGCGGTTAAAATCTAGCCTAGAGCGCCATCTGCTGTTAAAATCTAAGCTCTGAATCACGATGCGTTCCGAAAATCTCAGAATCTATCCACGAATCGTGATGCATCGATTTATTGTCCCAGCCCTAGTTGTAAGCCATCACTACTACTGTCTGCTGAACTCGCATTTAGTGAGAATGCTGTTGAGTTGAGTTGTGATGTAACAGGTGCTGGAGAACGCAGAGGGAGCGAGGACGACGCCGTCAGTGGTGGCCTTCACAGCTGATGCAGAGAGGCTCGTGGGAATGCCGGCCAAACGCCAGGCTGTCACCAACCCCAACAACACGCTCTATGCTACTAAACGCCTGATCGGACGCCGCTATGATGACGCTGAAGTTCAGAAAGATTTGTAAGACATCTGATTGCAAAATTCCAGCCCCTTTATACATTTAAGTGTTATGTAGGTTTTATTTAAGTGATGATCTTTGCTGTGATCGACAGGAAAAATGTGCCCTATAAGATCGTGCGTGCGTCTAACGGAGACGCCTGGCTGGAAGCCCACGGTAAACTGTACTCTCCCAGTCAGGCTGGAGCTTTTATCCTCATGAAGATGAAGGAGACCGCAGGTCAGTCCGTCTGCATGAAGAAAATGCATTCAAAACAAATGATTAGGGGTCGACAATATGACCAAAGTCTTATATCACAATACATATATATAAAACTATGTAGTTCACGAAATACAGTGGGGCAAAAAAGTATTTAGTCAGCCACCAATTGTGCAAGTTCTCCCACTTAAAAAGATGAGAGAGGCCTGTAATTTTCATCATAGGTATACCTCAACTATGAGAGAAAAAAATCCAGAAAATCACATTGTAGGATTTTTAAAGAATTAATTGGTAAATTCCTCGGTAAAACTTGTCATCAGTGCCGCCAGTATCACAAACTAATACTAGCCTTAAAAACAAAACTCAAGCTCACTGAAGACAAGTAAACAGTCAGCGATTTAAATAAGAAACTAATTACAAGCAATAGAACAAAAAACTACAGTAGAACAAATGAATAAGAAATGCTACATACATTGTATAAAGTAATCAAATGAATAAAAACATTGCATATTCTTATTAAAGTTACAAAAGTGATTTAGTCGAGAGCAGCGAGATTTTCTCTTGTTGTTTGATTTAACATGAATGACAGACAGCAGGAATATTAGACTGCTGTCACTTTAAGAGCTGCACGGATCCATTATACTGTTACACGCATGTTCTCTTTCTCGGCTGTTTGCTTTCACTTAAGACCGAAATTACTGTTTTTACGAGGATACTTGCGAAGATGGGCATTTTGACACATGCAAGTGTGTATTTAACTGTTCTAGGCATATAAAGCGGCAAAAATAACTGTTCAACTCTCCTGCACAGTTCTCTTTCACTGCTGATTGCATTGCAACGGCTTAAAATCACTTGGTTTTTAAACCGCAATGCTAAAAAAACACGTGCAAACGATACGTTTTTGTGACCAGTTAGCACAGCAACATCACGTGTGTGTGTGTACCCGTGACAGAGACAATAGTCCACAATCTCTCCTAGAGGTGGGAATCTTTAGGCACTTCACGATCCGATTCCAAAACGATTCTTGATCTACATTTTTTCCTAATTCTTCTGCTGTGCAAAATTGTACAACAAAACGCAGTTTCTATGCTTTTTGTTTATAGTTGGAATCTCTAAGTCAGTACTGCCGTTTTAAAAATAGGGGTGTGAAGCTTCACGATTCAATTCAATTACGGTTATCGTTATCAACTCAGTATCACGATGCGTCCTATTTTCAATATTACTGCACATGGCTACAATTTAATAGAAGTTTTACATCAAATTTAATTTGTGCAAAATTTACTTTTTTTTTTTTTATTATATAAGCAGACTACTTTTTAAAACAATTACTTATTTAAAATAAGTGTTCAAGTATCCGAAAGTTTACAGACAGTTGGCTAGCTATGGGGTTTGCTTTTTTCCTCCACATTATTGCCATTTGATTATGAGATCATAGACCGCAGCAGCTTTAACAGGCTGCATTCACACTCATGCACAGATCTATTTCGATATATCAGATGTTCTGTCCTGCTCTGAAAACGTAACTGACTGTTTACACATCAATTTCATATAAAAGCATATACAAGTGCGTATAACCGCAGCCGCGATCGAGCTTCAGGACAACAAAACACAAAGCGTACATGAAAGTCTGTCAGTGCGCGAGTTTTGTGCATCTAATAGTACTGCATTCCAAATGGCATGAATGCATATCTAAAGTAAAACACGGCGGGTGGAAGCACACACTATCAAGCAATGCGCACGTGTCTCAAAGCGTTAATTCTGTGCAATGAAGCCCGCCGCATCTCTAGCGCGCACACGTGCCATTTGCGGGGAAAAAAAAAACAAGCTCAGAATCGCGATGCATCGGAGAATCTATTTTTTCTCCCACCCCTGATCTCTACCAGGTTAACCGGTATATCGCCACCCCTACACATGATCATAAGCTCCATCAAACCACTGCTTGTCTGTTTTCAGAGAACTACCTGGGTCATGCGGTGAAGAACGCTGTTATTACCGTACCTGCTTACTTCAACGACTCTCAGAGACAGGTGTGACACATTTCTCATTCTACTAGATTAACCCATCTCTCTGTGCATCTGACGGGTCTCATTATTCGCTCATGTTGAGAACATTGTGAACCAGCTTTGAGGGATCTATCTTTAATATTTGTTTATAATTGACTTTAATATCTGGTGTATTTATAGGCAACCAAGGACGCCGGACAGATTGCTGGTTTGAATGTGCTTCGTGTTATTAACGAGCCGACGGCTGCTGCTTTAGCCTACGGACTGGAAAAGACTCAGGACAAAATGTGAGTATTAGATACTAGTAGGGCTGGGTAAAAAAAATATAGATTTCTCGATTTTAATCGATTCTCATTTTTATGAAACCATATCGATTCATAAATCTCAATAATCGATTCGTCTCGCCTGTCAGATAATGAACGGAACATTGTAGCGCGGCTCCCATCCAATAAAGTGTTACTTTTGATATGAAACAAAGTCTCAGATTTCAAATTCTGTCCATTTTATTGCAATATTCAAATATTAAGTGGCATTTTGGCGCTGTTTAATGTGGAGTGACCGATCGCTGTGAACAGATCGTCTCCTCTGCTTTAACAGCAGTTACAGCGTGAAATAAGCATGAATGAACATCCGAAGGTGTTAAACCCGTCTCCTGTCTCATGTTATTGCTCAATCAGTGTTTTTAAAATGCGGAAAGATGACAATTGCTTGTAAACAATGCGTCACGTTTTCAATTAACTCTAGAGAGGAGCTTTTTGCTAAATATGCACCGGATAACTTATTCACTATAACTTTTTACGGTTCTTCAATATATAATTGGTTTGAATAAATCTGCTAAGTTTTTGTGACAGCCACCATTTAAATGTTTACATTTCAAAAAAACGAATTAGAGTAGAAATATAATTATGTAAGTTAAAGTTAGTATTATAACTTTAATATTACAAAACCTTTGAGTATATTTTAAGTGTTTGTATACAAATCGGCAAATTTCAACCTCAGGTATATTTTACAGCTTTAGTTGAATTTTTTTTTTTCCCCTCAAATTTTCCATGTCCTGCACCTGAGAGATAGATTATTTACATGAACAAAAACGTAGGGAAAAACTGTAACAACGTCATTTTTTTTAATAGGGTAAAATTTATTCTGACTGGTTTGAGTCCCACATTTATCACACTACCATAGTTGCCATTAGTGTTATTACAGTGAATTCATAAATCCAAATCAGTTGGACAAATTTGTAGCGGAAGCAGTGCAGACTCTTAACAAAATTTAGTCACACACTGGAAAAAAGTTTGCAGAATGCAGCCGTTTAGGAGCCCTGTGTCTTTAAAACGTTCTAGTTGCTCATGACTGATGTCAAATGGTGTGCATTTAGTTAAAAAAAAAAAAATGCAATGAAATCAACTGAAAAGTCTGTATACTGAAGTCTTATTGAATATTGTTTGACATGAATCTACTTCCTGTGTGCTTTGACTTCACTGCGGTCTTCCCAGAATCGCTGTGTATGATCTCGGCGGTGGGACGTTCGATATCTCTGTCCTGGAGATCCAGAAGGGAGTTTTCGAGGTGAAATCCACCAATGGAGACACGTTCTTGGGCGGAGAAGATTTCGACCAGCATCTCCTCAGACATATAGTGAAGGAGTTCAAGAGAGAGGTTTGTGTCCGTCCTCCCAAAAAAACCAAACTTGTGTGTGTGTGTGTGTGTGTCTCTTATTAGTGTTGCTTCACCTATCAGCAAATTTGAGGCCAGTAGCGATCACTGATATATTTGAACACTAAGATCAGCCGCTAACCATCATTGATGTTTAATAGTAAAGGCTCATGAAACCCCCATCTTTCAGCTCAAGTTAATATGCTTCATTAAAATGTAAAATTTCAGACAATTTACAAACTGTAAAATACTAAAGTTACATTTAACAGTTGTGTTGTTACTATCTGAGATCATTGTGAACTGCATGAGATCAAATGCAGCAGTGATGTGCTTGAGAATACATGATAGCAATTACATATCGATTTATAAAAAAGTTGAGTTTCCACAGAATTGGCCAAAAGATTATCGATGCACCCCTCATTATAGAATGTAAAAACTGAAGTATGCAAGACTGTTGATAAATGGATCGCAGTGGGTTATTGGTAATAAATACATTTTAACAGATTTGTTCATTTGGAATGCATTTGCCGCCTTTGAAACTTTTCTTCAGCTGGCAGCAAAACTTGCTTAGATGTTTGGGTAATTTAT